AATATTCCTGCGAGGAAAACTGCTTTTCAAATCCAAGGACTTATTTCTTGAAATGGTGACACGGATCAACTGTTTCTAAAGTATCTGCTAAAATCTTGCCCCAAATAGGTTCTAAGCTGCACATCTCAGGGACTCAGACCTTAGTGGCCAGGCAGCTCTGTGGCGATTAGGGATGTTCCTCACTGACCCAAGCCCTGGAACACTGGCGATAGTGCTCTATGAAGGGGGTGGCAGGGCTGGAGGCAGGATCAGGACCAGTGTTTTGAAAGTTTAGACCCCAACCTTGGAGGTATGAATTGTATTCCTACCAGTGATCAAAAGTGGCTGTGAAGGAATGCCACAGCTAGACCTATGCTTAAAGGCCAAACACAAAAGTTAAAAGAAAAGCAACACTGAAATCAGAGACTAGTAAATCTATACTAGTGATAGAAAGAAGATGAATTTTAGTCTAATTTGAATAAGCAAAGGCACAGTCTAGGAACGGAAAGAGAAAAACAAATGAAATTGTGTCCTTTTGCACAGGAGGATCCTGTAACACAGTATATTCCAACAAGATAGATCAGATTTTCAAAACAGGAGCACCATCACCGGCGAGGACAACAGCCCCCCGGCCCAGGTTTCCAGAAGAGTGAGCAGGCACACCGGGAGGGGAAGAGGAAAAGCCAGACACTTAAGAAATGAGAGCAGGAAGGGAGCTTCCAAGCAGCAGCCTCCATATCCACAGGACAGGCAACTGCAGAGAGCAGTGCCACAGCAAAACAAAGAGGAGAGAACCTGAAGACAACACTGCGAGGAGCGACGCAGCAGAGCTGCTGAGAGGGGCAAATGGGAACGCTGTGGGTGGTGTGGCCTGGAGGAGGCCTTGGGGTGACAGGATCTCCTTGACACAGTAGAGGTAAAATCCACTGCTGCAGACTGGGGCAGCTATAATCTACTACTGGTATGGTACAACCCGGAAGCCAATGCAAAAAAAAGATTCTAGAACAACCAGAAGTGATATGATTTGGGGATTTTGCATGCCATTTTTTTCCTTATGCATTAATAATACTAAAGAATATTTGTAGCTGAGGGAAAAAGCCAGAGAATAGATAAAAATTTAAGAGAGAAAAGAGGTGACCCAGCCAATGAAGAATAAGAGAAAAAGTATTCAAGAAATGCTTCACAGTTGAATTCGGGTTCACTAAAATAAGGTCTCCAGCGAGTCTTTGCTAAGAACCACATATTGGAAGAAAGCCCAGATCCTGATCCAAGACAGACAGACATAATCATTGGTACAAATGCAATGTTTATGTTAGACACAGAGAGAGAAGGAACTGAGAGGTGAAACTGAAGAGCTGAGATGAAGACTGTGGCTGATCCTAATAGACCAGAAGAACACTTACATTTCCAAAGTATTTGTCCAGCAACTCCACATACCGATGCACAATCTCTAGTGTCAAGAGCTCATTGTCTTGGTTTTCTATTGCACAGCAAAAATATAAACTAGCATACCTTGAAAAGAAAAACATAAAGAAAGCAAATAGGATGAGACATTAAACAAGCTACAGAAGGATTTCCCCAATGAGTATGCGAAGTCACCTCCTCTTCTCCAGAGATTCTCTCCATCCAAAAATGACGTCGTTATTCAGCACAGCAAATATCCTCCCCAAATATAACATGGAATATATACAAATACTGCACTGGGTGGGTCATTTGGGTTGAATATATGTAGTGCTCCCAACATAATTTTACCTTGAAAAGCTATGATCAGGGCTTTGATAGCCAAGCCCATGATAACCAACTTTGTTCATGCCTCTTTCTAGCTTCTAACTGGCCTTTGTAAAATGCAGTCTGCCTCTTTTTCTTATAGGGTTTTATGAGAATCTTCTGCAAGGACATTTCTGGTATGTCACTTCTTCCTGAAAGCCAATGGATGCAGGATCAGGCTGGACGCAGTCTGGCCCCAGATGAGGCATCAATGACCTGTGTGTTTCTGGACAAATCTCTGCGGCCTCAGTGTTCTCAATTATGAGCGGAAGTTCTTTTCAGGGTCCTGCCATATCAGGCAGACATGATAAAAAATATTTAGGCTATAAAGCCAGGAAGGTCTGAACAGGAGTCCTGTGTACACTCCTGACCACTCAATTACTGTGACCCATGAGTATGAAAAACTATACTGAAAGTCACCCAATGAACAAAGTCTCCATCTTGCTACCCACTAGCCTGCACTTCCCCATAGCATTTGTCACTAAATGAAAAGATTTTATCTCTTTACTTAATAAGCAAACATTCTGGAAGAGCAGGAACACTGTGTTGTTCATTGCTTGCAGCCACAGACATAAAGACAATGCCAGGAATGTACCAAGTGCTCATAAAATATTTCTCAAACTCATGTATGCATTACCAAAATATAGAGGACATATTTAGAATCCACTCTAACATCCCAAAGCCACTTCAGTAAATGAGAGTTCTTGACTAGTTAATCTGCTGCTACAGACGTTGGGCTCCAGGCTTCAGAACTCATGGGAAATGATGGCGCTGACATTGCAGTGTGTCTGCTGAGGACAAGCCCAAGTACCCATAGCACATTCCGTTGTCACAAAGTACTCACACCTTTTATAAACAAGTTTCAGCTCCTTCCAGTCAATAAAACTGCTGGTCCTGTAGCCCCGAGAGAGAACGATCTGAATGATTTCCCTGGTGATCCTTTTTCTTTCTTTGTCGGGGAGGGTGGTGTACCATTTCTGCAGCCGCAGTTTCCCTTGCCGACTGAAGAGCAAGATGAA